TGATGATGATGATGATGATGATGATGATGATGATGATGATGATGATGATGATGATGATGATGATGATGATGATGATGATGATGATGACGATACTGATGAAGATGATGATTATGATGACAATGATGGAGGCTTCCGGAACGAAACCTCAATCCGATTCTCTAGAGAATCTACTACTTGACATATTTAATAGGTTCAGAATTTCGTCTGAAACGACCCACTCTAGCCTCTGAACAAGACAGCTATAAGTATTATACGAACAGACGGCCAATTGAGTAATTGTAGCTGTTGCAAACTCCTCTCCTTTTATATTTCGTAATAACTGGTTAGTGATTCCTCCCATTTGACACAGTGTCAAACCGTTCGACTGCATTTGTTGCGAATATTCTAGAATCGTATCCCTTGTTTTCGGTGGCGAAACTTTATTGGTAGTTTGGATGTGAGGCTGGGTACCAAGCTTAGTCCGCTGTACCAGAACCCTTTTCTAGAAACTACCCATTGATGAGCAGAATGAATCTACATGTACGACCGCACCTAAAAGACATCACACACGTTACTACCAACCCATTTTGCTCCATCAGATTCATATTTATCACGCCTCTTGTTAGCACTGTCACAAAAAGCATCAAGCGAATGGTGAGTAACCTTCGATTTTGTGTTCAATCCCACCAGACCACAGTTCAACTCGTTCAGAAGGAAATTCCCGAGTTATCTAGGTCATTCAGTGTGTGTTATAGACCTTTTTGGATCCAAGCATATCAGTCTTGTAGGACTCGAATACTCGACTTATACACTAATTTGGATACCAATTCGGTTTCGATGGAAGATTCACCTGGAACCAAACTGAAAAGCACTCGTTTATGGTGTTTCTATTCAACTGAATGTGCTGCACCAGGCCGCCCCACGTTTCAGCTGTGCAATCTTCGAGATTCAGCTGGGTTCCAGGTGATCCACCCAAAAAATCAAGCCGGTATGCTAATGAGTTTACAGGTTGTTTGTTTCGACCAGAAAATAAGGCTGACGGAAACTCGAGAACCGCGTCCACTTGATCGATTCCAAGAATGAAGGAACCGGTTCTGGGCCGTTGAAGAGTTTTCAGCAATTTCATGTGTAGTGTTTTCCGTCTATACAAGGGATCTGGACACATTTTTCGAATTTGCAGAGAAAAAGCGTGAATAAACTCTTCTGAAGTTTTGGAATTCGTTATCCGTTCGGTCCAGGGCGTCGTCAACCGGATTCACTTCAACACACTTTGACTATGTTCTTCGAATACTTGGATTTCGCTTACAGGTAACACTAAACAGTAGGTTTTCAAGCAAATGCAGTGATTGTCGCCACCTTGTATGTCGTGCCAGAGTTCTAGCTCTCTGTTTGGTTGACTCTAGGGAACCAATCATCATTCGGCTGACTATCTCGGTCTCCGACGCTACTTAGTCTGAACAAACAACAAGCGCTTGAACTTGGAAATGAACTTCGGTGCCGGTCAGACGGGTATCGACATACATCTCCATTTAGACGGAGCCGTGCGACCACGGACTTTGTTCGAATTGGCCCAAAGACGAAACATACCCATTCCTTATTCCACGCCAGAGGAACTGGAGCGGGCCATTCTACCAACTAAGCCGTACACACTAGCTAATTTTTTGAAGGGTTTCTACTTTCTATTGCCTATTCTCGCTGGTGACAAGGTAAGCTAATTTGTGATGACATGTGGTTTTGTGTTAAATTATCTAACGGAACGCCAGAAATGTTTAACGACCAATGTGAATACTTTTTTTCGTGGAGCAAATAATTGGTCTAACAACCTGTACCAGATATCCTAGGCCAATCAGAGGTATTTTCTTAGAGAAAAACTGTTTATAAGTTTGTTGGAAACTTGTCACACTCGTTCACTTACAACAATGTTTTGGTGCACTGGTGTATGTCCCTCAAAATGGGGACTAGGGCTGAAGTGCCGTCAGGTGGCCCAAGTCTAGAATGGGACAGTCGGGATTCTGAGATCGGGTTCGAATCATAGACTTTCCGGTCAGTAAGTTGATGCCCATCACAGGGCTCGTTTATGATAGCTTCCTTCAACTAAATTTGCTGCTCAAGACTGCCTCAGCTGGCACGGTATTCTGGAGATCGCAGTCAATTATCCGGGCAGAAGGCACTGCTCACAAAGATGGGTTCAAGTGGAACATAAGTTTCACAGAAACTCGGAGCCTGCGACTACCTCACAAACTCCAAGAAGACGAGGGGCGAAACCTGCTATCAAACAGTTTTCAGCAACTTTATGAGTAGTGTATTTTGCCTAGACAACCTGCTGCAGTATCTTGAATACTGTCCTAACTGAAACATGAGATGACTTTTTTGTAGCACACTCGGTACATAGTCTGAACGGTACATGCCTGCTTTCTTCATAAGTCTGGAGTAATGTATCGTTTTTTAAAAAATCATTTAAAGTAGAATGCGGCACCAGCTGTACACGCATGGATCAATCGATATAATATCAACTGACTGGTTTTCAATACGCATGCATCCAACAAATGTTTCTACTAAACAAGGGAATGTGACCGACTCATGATAGTTCAAATCTGATTCAAACTAATGAGTGTTTATGTCCAGCATACGTTTATGTCTTTCTAAGATCTAGAAGAGAATATTCCAACATTTCCTCGAATTTTGAATTACGAACTAGGATGTCAAACGTTTTTAGTCCCGTCGAGTTTTGCTACAGGCAATTTTTGCTCATGCTACTTGAATTTCATCAGAAAGTATTGTTTGCCCAGTGTTCAGCAACACCGATGTTACAGAATGAGTTGCAATGGCACAAACTGCTCTATACCACTCACATTTGTTCGTACGATGGGAACTGGACTAGTTGACTGATCTAGTCGACCGATCATTCCGCTGACACGAAGTAGCCTCTCCTGCAGTCGCATGAGACAACCCTGACCCTGCTCAAGTGAGCAACTGGGGCGCTTCCAAATTCTTGGACTACCCTGCCGATAGGACGAGATCGGCCGGTGATGGCACACCAACCTGGCTCAGTGGAAGAATAAACTTCACCCGATCAGTGAAACTTCTATCTGAGACGTCGTTTCTCGACGAGCCAGTCAACACGTGTGACCGCGTGATGTGGATCCCGTGATTGAACGATCAGCGGCGCTATATCCTGTTTAAGTACTAGGTAATCACACTGCTGATCAGCCACTGGTGGCCGAACGGTTAAGTGTTCAAACTACTAGCCGGGAGGTCGCGGGTTCGAGACACTTCGGAGTTAGTTTGGGGAGATGCGCACTGCTCATGATTTCCAATAAGGATGAAACAGGTGCACAGTGCTTCTCGGCTTTTCAGCATAGATTGGCTTCAATTGCAGGACGAAATCTCCACAAAATCCCTAATCTCCTCACACAACCAACTGTGGTTAACAGTTAAGCCATCACTACTTCTCAGGGTTTTTATCGAAATTTGAAAACATAGTCCCCGATTCCCATGGATAATAAAGCCCATGTAATAGTTCACTATTCATACATGTTAAAAGGACTTAACTATACTGTTCGGATGAACAGAACTTAGAAGTTAAATCCTCCATAGACACATGATGACAGCTGTCTATTTGAAGCAAACTTTTCAACTTCATTGGGCCAGATGGCCCAAGTGGTTAGAGCGCAAATCTACTGACTGGAAGCTCCGTGGTTCGAACCCAACCTCTGCCTCTCGACTACCCCTGTCTAGGCTTGGGCAACCTGGCATTATCCCAGCCCTCGTGCAACCTTTGGATGGCATGGCAGTTAGGCACCGAAAGAGTGCTAAAGCTGAATGATTTTACCAGAATATTTGTAGCTTGGATGATTTCGATAGGTGATCGTTGATCTGTTCGCGGAACTTAGCAGTCGGCTTGCAAGCAAACGTTTCGTGACCAGTCTAGATGAGCACGCTCGTTGAGCAGCAATCAGTTGTTGAGTACTTCGAAACGAAGACGTTGTCGACGAGCCCCTCTTTTGCTGCCCTGACTTAACCAGGCCTGCGGTATTCCGCCGACCATATTACGCAGCATCAAATTGTACATGCTCGGTTCGGCATGTGCACCATCTCTGGTGATTTGCTATACATGGGTGGTTACAAACTTCTGGGAATACAGTCCACAGTATGCTTCCCATCTACAGTTCACATCTACTGAATTAACATTCATTTTGTTACGCATAAACTAGTCGGTGTTTTATTTGTAATACACTACTCATAAGGTCGCTGAAAATCCATCGACAGCCCACGACCGGTTTTGTCCTTCTTAGGGCTCATCAAGTGGGCGCAATCCCCGAGTTTCCGTCAACCTTATATTCTACTTGAAACCAAAATGCACGGAATTAGCGAAATACACTCATTTGCAAACAAATTTGTTTTTTTTCTCGAGAGACTCACCTGGAACCCAGTTGAATCCCTTGTTTGTGATGTTCTCAGGCAACTGAATGTGCTGCACCAGGCCGCCTCATGTTTTAGTCGCTACGATATTCAAGATGTCGCGATACATATATATATATTTTTGTGATGCCCTCGACAGCCCACAACCAGTTTCTCCCTTCTTGGGCGAATAGACACCCATTTGCAAACTAATTTGGTTTTGCAAGAGCCTCACCTGGAACCCAGCTGAATCTCTCGTTTGTGAAAATAACTCAATAACTGATTGAGTTTGAGGGGCAGTTTGATTTGCTGTTTTTACCAACGACTTAAATAGTTTTCGAAATTAGCAAAAAAGCAACTGAAGTCTTTCGACGCCAGATTAAAATGGTACGTCTAATTCTATTGTTGAAACTACTTGAGAGCCTTGCACTTTCAAGGGCGGCTTTCCCTTCAGCAAAGAAAACCTCTCAGCTGTAACACCCTTCCGGTGCCTAGCTGCCATACTACCCGAAGGAAGCACGAGGTCTAGGATACTGTCAGGTTGCCCAAGCCTAGACAGGGGAAGTCGCGTGGCAGAGGTCGGGTTCGAAACCTGAACCTTCCGGTCAGTAAATTCGCGCTCTAACCACTTGAGCCATCTCGCCCCTGTTCCATGAGACAAGCTGACAATTCCGTCATGCCCTGCCTGCGTTCTGAGAGCGTTCGCATAAACGCGTTCTTCTCATGCTCAGCGAGTGGACTAAAGCCTAAGGCATCCTCATCGATGGTCGAACGCACTCCAACAGTGGGTCCACCTGATGATCACTCATATTTTGAAGTGATGTGGTGGAACATGTCATCATCGATGCTTCACTGTCGTAGGTTTTTACAGGACACCACCACTGAGTCTCGCGTTAATGCCACACTGGTGCGCGAATGAGCGTAGCTGCCAACTGACAGTGGACCTCAACTGAAGTATCACAATGTTTCCTGACACAAAATCAAAAGGTGGGATAAAAATACGGCTTGGCTCTGGTCACTTGGATTAATGACTTCGAAGATTTAAAGAAATTCCATGTTTCTAGCTTTCGGAATTTTCTGGGCGTCCCAAGAAACGGATTATTGTGAATGACTGTGATCACTCACCACTTTTGCAGATTTGATCGATCGTAATGCCTCCTGAAGCTCTGGACGCTGAAGTAGACCCGAGATCCGGGCCCCGTCACCCTAAACATGGACCCCGATGCTGTTTTTCCCCTTTTATTCCCAGTGGTATGGTCCTGTCACATTGGCCGGCGGGAATGAGCGCGTATGTTTCGAATAGATACTCTGTCGACTACCAGGACAATTCATTCTACAGAGTGTACGGGTTTCTCTCTCTTATGGTACCCGATAAAGCACAACCAGATGATAGTCGCTTCAGACGCGAAATCGAGGATGAACCAGCGAGCTGGATTGAAAAACTCACCGCAACCGACCTCGTGGATCGTAACTTCGAAATCCTGATCACCGCTGCATGCCAAGAAAAGGCAGGTGTTATAGGCGAAATACCAATCTGTTTTGATGAGAAACTCACCTGGAACTCAGGTGAATCTCCCGTTTATGATGTTTTTAAGCAACTGAATGTGCTCCATCAGGCCTCGAATCAGCCTGTGAAACACGAAGAGGTGGGGCACGTTCTACTGAGATTCTGAACGTTCGAACCTTATCTGTGACCTGTGGATAGTAGCCAAATTAGGTCTGTTGCACACATTAAATAGGTTAAACAATAATCCTTAATAGTAATTCAAACATACTCTCATACTAGTGTAACAGTGATACTACAGATGGGGAGATAAGCGAGTAGTATGTGTTGTTCGTAGAATTTCGCTTTGTGTCTTTTGAAAAGGGGAGATCTGTTGTGGAATTTGTGGAGTCGCTTTGTAACGAATATCCAGAAAAGTTTAAGAAGACGCGTTCAGCAGAAGATGGATGTCCAGTTTTGTAAATAAGATGCAAATTAGAGTTTTGCTTCCCTGTCCAATAGTCTGTAACCGGTCATTTGGCATTTTCTAATAAGTAACTCCGCAGCGAAGGCCTTCGTCCTTTCACTAGGTCAGTCGAGGCCAACTTCCAGATGCCTCGGGTTGTCACACCCTTGGCCTGACAGTCCTTCCGATTGATTCTGGCCTGTTTGGTGCGAATGTCCGGAACGTACATGCAGCAGTGTTGTGATCTTGTGCTGTCTCGTCACTCTTAGACCAGACAAACATCCAAATTGTTTAGGGTGCTGATGCGTTCAGGATGCGCTTACGCGTTTTCGCCAAGTATGATCATTTGCGCACGA